GGCTCACAATGATCCCTGCCTCCCAGTATTTATTATTGTTTACAATAATACCCTCCTACTGAGCATGGGTTTGATTTTGTGCCTCACTTCTACGGAATAAAATATGGTAGACGTGATGGAAAGTCATTGCATTTTTTTTTTTTTTTTGAGTTGGAATCTCATTCTGTCGCCCAGGCTGGAGTGCAGTGGCACACTCATGGCCACCCCAATGTTGACCTGCTGGGCTCTGGCGATCCTTTCACCTCAGCCTTCCAAGTAGCTGGAACTACAGGTGCATGTTACCATGCCTGGCTTATTTTTGATTTATTGTAGACACGAGGTCTCACCAAGTTGCCTGGGCTGTTCTCGAACCTGCGGACTCAAGCAATCTACTCACTCACCTCTGCCTCCAAAAATGCTGGGATTGCAGGCTGAGCCAGTAAGACCAGCTGGAATGTCATTTCTGAGATTAGGTTATAAAAAGATTGTGACTTATCTTGCTCTATTTCTGTCGTGGATTCTCTCCTTTTGGGAGAAGAATGCCACCATTTTGTGAGCAGGTTTGTGGAAAGGCTCATGTAGCATAGCAAGAAACTGATGGCTATGAGTAATAGCCACCAAGAACCTGAGTCCTGGGAACAACCACGTAAGTAAGGTGGAAGCAGATCCTCTAAGATTTGCCAAAGACCATGTGAGTGAGCCTGAAAAGTATCTTCCGAGATCTGCCAACAGCCCTGTGGTGAGATTGGAAGCAGATCTTCCCAGGTTCAGCCTGGAGATGACCGAACCATTTCTGGATTCCTAGCCCATAGAAAATGACATTATAAATTTTTATTGTTTTCAGCAAAAAATTTTGGATGTAATTTGTTATACAGCAATAATAACTAATAAAAACCCAAAGAAATTAGAAGGAAATAAATGATAGATATCAGAGTAGAAATTAGTAATATAGAAAACAAAGCCTACTTGGAAGGCTGAGGCCCCCAAATTATGAATTTTAAAAAGCACATATCCAAGAGAATTAGCAAAACTGAAAGTTGTTTCGTGAATAAAATAAATAAGAAAGACAAGCTTTTGGTGTAAATGAGGAGAAAAAACTTACATTGTATTGCAAAATGTGATGTTAGTGATTTTAGAAAACAAGAAACTACAGTATTCAACTTTGTCAATAAATTTTAAAATGTAAGTTGGAATGAAAATTCAGGATAGTGATTACCTGTGAGGGTTATATAGGTAATACAATTGGGGACACCTGATTAGAGAACTTAAGTATATATTTTTTTATTTTTAAGCTTGCTAGTGGGCAAATAGGCTCATTCATTATATCTTTTCATATGTTTGAAATAATTTAGTCATTATTTTTAGAGGAAGTATCATATGAGGTTTACAGTCTGAATGCTGCCTGTATAAATCTAGAACAAGGTATATTAAAAATATCTTGTACTGTACCTCAGCAATTTTCAACACTGGCTACTTATTAGAATCATTTGGGGAGCTGTATCAGTCATCTATTGCTGTATAGTAAATTTCTCTAAAATTTAGAAGCTTTAAACAACACACATTTATTATCTCATAGTTTCTATAGCCAACGATCTTGGTCTGGCTTAGCTGAGTCTTTTGCTTCAGAATCTTTCACAAAGAACTGAGGGTTTTAGTTCCTTGATGACTGTTATCCAAAGGTCACACTCAGGTCTTTGCCAGGTGGACCTCTCCAAGCTGTCAAGCTGCTTCATTAAAATATGCAAGCCAAGCGGGGAATCATGAGAGAATTCGGTCAGCAAGATGGAAGTCGCAATCTTTTATAACCTAGCCATGTAAGTGACAGTCCATCACTTTAATTATATTCTATTTGTTAAAGACATGTCACTAGATCTAGTCTATACTCAAAGGAAGGTGGTTATACAAAAGCATGAATACCAGGAGACTGGAATCATTGGACGTTATCTTAGAAGGAAGCTTTTAAAATAGAGATGACAAGACCACACCTTGGCTGGGATTCAAATGCATTTGATTGAGGGTGGGCCTAGGATCTGGTATGTTTTAAAACTTCCCAGGGGATCACCTGGGGAGCTGTATCAATCATCTATCGCTCTATTCACATGTAGCCAGTACTGGAAAAGAAGTACATGAACTTGTCATCCAGTAAGGTCTTGCCAGTCGACTCCCACAGCATAACTGAGGGTCCCCAGTTATCATGTAGATATCCTGGGTTCTTCAGGCAGTTGTCATTAAAGCTGAACAGGACTACTCATTCTTGCATCCACAACTGTTTAATTCCATTAATATAGTATCAAGGTTTTGTGGCAAAAGAAAGATGGATATGAGGAGTTTTGTAAGATTGTTTTTGAGCACTTCTACTATTCTTATCCCTGGATTGGCCTTAAAACATCCATGAGTCATGGGAATATCTGATCACTGGCTTGTGTTGAAAATTCTTGGGCCCCGAAATTCTTCATGTCTTTGACCCAAAGGACACCTCCTTCAGATATGCAGTGAATTTGGACTGTCTGATTCTCATGTGGCAAACTTTCCATCTTCCTAACTAAGATGGTATCTTTGATGCCTCACACACTCAATTGCTATTATCAAGTCTTGTCCATTCTACTTTATCCCCATTCTTCTCTTTTAATCCATTCCCATTGATATTACCAGGATCTAGGACTGAGCTACTGCAACAGACTTCTAACTGGTCTTTGCGTCTCCATGTCTCCACTAGTCTCCTTCCCCCTAACCCAGGGCTCCTCTTTCCAGTTCCCTCTCTCATTCTCTCTATTCTTTCTCTCATTCATTCTCTCTCTCTCTTTCTCTCTCTCTCTGTCTTCTCCCCTGTACCACCCACTCCTCTCCCCCTCACTCCATTCCAATATGGCTTTCCCAATCACCTGCCAGTCAAATCAAGGTGCTTTGGTATGGATGATTCAGACCTTGTCTGCTTCACTGGAATGCACAAACCACTAAGTTTTCATTGTTTCAGCTAAATGTCCCCCCCCCCAAAATTTATAAATTATTTATATAAATTATATAGAATATAATGTTTATTTTAAGAAAACCTCAGTGTCCTTAAAATTATTCAACTTCCCCAAAGACTGCCTTTCCAGACTACTGTATAGCAAAATTCCAGAGGTGTCTTATAGGCCTACAGCATTTAAATGTGCTCTCTTCTCATGGAAATAAAGAAATAATTGGAACTAAAAAACTCCCAAGAAGAAAGCCAAGAACTCTGTGAAGGCAAATTTCCCCAGTAACTACTAAGGAAAACTCACACTTGCCTGACTATAGGGAAAAAGTGAAACTTCCTGTTAGCTTCTGACAATATTTTTCCCTTGGGGAGACACTTGGTGCAAGAGTGTTTGTAAACACTTGTCATTAGGTTTAAAGCCCTAAATACTGGGAAGAACATGATATTGGCATACGAATATATATAGGACTAACTGCACTCAGAACCCTTGATTTCCAGGTGTGTATGTGCAAGAGTATAAAATCTAGTTAATGACATATTTTTAAGTACATGTTTAGGTAATGTAGAAAAGATTGCAGCAATATTTTTTTTTTTTGAGTTGGAGTCTTACACTGTCACTCAGACTGGAGTGCAGTGGCCGCTCCCGGCCACCGCAGCCTCCACCTGCTGGGCTCTGGCGATCCTTCCGCCTCAGCCTTCCAAGTAGCTGGAACTACAGGCGCACCCTACCCTGCCCAGCTAATTTTTTTGATTTATTGTAGAGATGAGGTCTCATCAAGTTGCCCAGGAGGGTCTCGAACCCGCGGGCTCAGGCAATCCACTCACCTCAGCCTCCCAAAGCACGGGATTACAGGCTGAGCCACTGAACTCGGCTAGATTTCTGCAATTTTATAAAGAATATAATACTTTTCTTTTGCTACCAAAGCCTATTTTAATGCACCATTAACCTCTTCCAACTAATCTGACTGAATTCACATTATGTGGAAGCTTCCTGAGATCCTGAAAAATGGATGTGCAGAAAAGTCAAACGTGACTGCAGATAGAATTGACTCCAATAAGCTCCTAGAACCATTTATAATAAAATAGGAATCAATAAGTCATCAAAGAACCAATGAATACACTTGGGAGGAAGAAAACACTAAATATAGGCATATTGTTACCCTGAAAGCTGTTGAAGTAGGTCCACTTGTGTGCTCAGAGTCAGCACCAAGCATCTCAGCCAGGACTCCAATAATTGCTGTGCTCTGTGCTTAGTGAATTGCAGGTTCCCTTGGAAAAGACCCCAGGACAATACTCGGGACCTGGGACCTCAACTCACCACAAACTTATTGTGTGACTCTGCAAAAAATCGCTTATCCTGGCCGGGCTCGGTGGTTCAAGCCTATAATCTCAGCACTTTGGGAGGCCAAGGTGAGAGGACTATCTGAGCCCGTACGTTCAAGACCAGCCTGGGCAACATGGAGAGACCTCGTCTCTACAATAAGTCAAAAAATTAGCTAGGTGTGGTAGCGCATGCCTGTAGTTCTGTCTACTTGGAAGGATGAAGTGGAAGGATCACCGGTGCCAAGCAGGTTGAGGCTGCAGTGGCCGGGAGCCTGGGCGACAGAGCGAGACTCCAACTCAAAAAAAAAAAAAAAAAATCACTTATCCTCTTTTCCCCTCTCAACTGATCATCTGTAAGTAAGGATCTACCTACATCCATAATAGAATTATATCTGGGAGAGTAGTGAGGAGTGACATTCAAATTCGAGGTCTGTTTTGTGATAAATAATGATATAATATCATTTATCTCTCTTTTTTTCCTGGGTAAATGAAAAAAATAATTAACTGAGATATTAATTTTCAACTGATGTTAAGGTAAAAATGAAAGGTAAACAATGTTAACTTCACCTCTTAACTCAGAAACAAAGTATTTTGGTCCCACTCTTTTTATAGAACTATCTGGGCAACCGAATATAGAATTGTAAATGAATAATCAAAGAGTCTTTGGTGAATATAATTGAAGATGGTAGTCATGATAACTCTCAACACTAGTCAAAGATTTAGAAAGTTCTTTTCGTACCTCTGGAATTATGACTAGACCAAATATTAAGCCAAAAAGGACAAGGTTAACGCCATACATCCATCGGAGAAAGATAAAATACGATGCCACCGAAGAACCAAAGTGACCTGGAGAAAGAAAAAACAGTGGATTTAAGTGTTGCAGAAGGAGGAAATTGACACTGTTGAGCATGTTATGTGTGTGATGGATTCAGTGTTCATATCAGTCTTCAGAGCAGTATCCTCTCTCTGTTTTTTTTTCCTAGTTAAATAACCTGAGGCTCTGTGGTGTTAACCAGCCTGCCTAAACTCCCACTTTCAGAAAGTGAAGAAGCAGAATCTAAATCTTGATCTGACTAGTTCAAAACCCATTTTTTCTAATACAACGGAACTGATTAAATACTTTAATCGAAAGGTCAAGGAAACAATCCAAGTTCTTGGAAAACTCTTTAGGAAACCATCTAAAAAACAGTGACACCAAAATACTTACTTTCAATGTCCTTGATCTTCATTTCCCAAGGAATACATTGGGTCTTGAAATTATCAAAATCTCTCTTAAACTTGACCCATTTCTGAAACAAAATAGGTAAAATTCTCAGTTCATTAGCACATTGACTTGCAGGACAAAGGGGCATGTTGGAGGGGCACATTGATGCCCACATGCCAACATGACATTGACTCATCATGGGTGAGGATGTTGTGTTGGAGTCCCTACCTCCTGCTGTCTTTGAACCCAGGTTGCCAGGGGTGAATGTTCAAATCTTCACTTTCCCAAAGTCAGGATGGAGTGAAGAGAAGCTGGGGTCACAGCAATACCTTATAGTACTGATAAAATTTCAGGTTTGCATGTTTTATAGATAACCTTAGAAATTTGGTGTACAATTTGTGGTTTGGGAGCTCAAATTGGGTCAGCAACCTCCGATATAACTTTCTTCATCTTACAACAAAAATTCAAGGGAAAAACAAAGAAATCTCACAACTCTTATACCCACATTTGGCAGACAGCAAGGTGCCTATATCTGATAAGAATTGTTGCTAAACTCTAAGGTGATGGAACTGATAAAAAGATCTCAACCCATGGCTGCCCATTCTTCTCCTGGGGAAACAACAGCTTTGCTTTTCTGGAAGGAATTAGAAAGGTATGTTGTCCCTTACCCCGTGGTCTGTTCTCAGTTCTAATACCCAGAGTTTGTTTCAACTGGAAACCTGAGTAGTCAGCTATCTGATGGCTGCATGTTGTTTTGTCAACTCTCCAAAGGGCTTGTCTCCACAATCCTCACACCCTGGGAATAAATCCATTTAGTGTAATAGCAATATTACACACTCGTAGAAAATAGCAGGCCAAGAAGTAACAGGGAACTGATCCTAAGATCAGCTTTTATTATTAAAAGAACTTGTTCTCCTAAGAACTTGTTCATGATAGAAGTGAGATTTTCCCTTATAGAGTCACTAAAGGATTAAAGAGTTTTATATGAAGTAGTTAGATGGGCTTCCAGACTGGTTTTCCAGACATAGTTTTGACCTTATCCTGATTGAATGGTTACTATATAAAGAAAGAAGTCAGCTGTCAGAGAGGAAGATGGTCACAGATACAAAAGAGAAGAGAGACCTATGAGCAAAAAGACAGGATGATAATAATGGCAAAGACATGGAGAGATGTGAGGGATGGCAGATGTCAAATGTTGGGCAGTGCAGTTCCATTAGCCTCCTGAGTTCTGAGTCTGTGCTCAAAAATAATATTCGGCTTCCTATGCAGGTCTGCCTATAAAAGAGCATTTGCAAATCACCTAGGCTTGAGTAGTTTGGTTTATGACAGGGACTTTCATTGTAAATTAACATATAGAAATTAGGACAGGCCGGGCTTGGTGGCTTAGCCTGTAATCCCAGCGCTTTGGGAGGCTGAGGTGAGCGGATTGCCTGAGTCCGCCGGTTCGAGACCCGCCTGGGCAACTTGGCGAGACCTCATCTCTACAATAAATCAAAAAATTAGCTGGGCATGGTAGCGTGCACCTATAGCTCCAGCTACTGGGATGGCTGAGGCGGAAGGATCGCCGGAGCCCAGCAGGTTGAGGCTGCGGTGGCCAGGAGCGGCCACTGCATTCCAATCTGAGCGACAGAGTGAGACTCCAACTCAAAGAAATTAGGACAATGGTTTAGCTGTCCATATAACTAACTCAACTATCAAAAGTAAAAGACACTTGCTGATGTGGACTTCATATTTTCCATCTTGCATCAGTCATGTCTCCTTGTAAATTAATAATCCAGCATCTAGTTTTATGTATCAGTTTCATAAACTTTATTAATGTGAGTCCTTTCCTGAGAGATGGATCCCCTGTCAGGGTGCTGATAAAATCAATATAAAATATAGGCTTGCAAGGCTGAGGACAAGCAGGGGTAATGAATGTTGCCAAGTGAGGCTCCTGGAGGCACAGCTTACCAGCTGGTTCCTTGGCAACCACCTGACAACCCCTTTTGGAATGGAAAGTGATGCCCTGGAGCTGGAGCAGAGGCAGAGAGAGACCTGAGAGATCTCTTGTCCTTCTCTTGTTGACAGCCATAAAACTGGGTTGGGGTGTGGGTCAAGGACTCCCAAGACCTCTTCAGGGCTATGTGAGATGGCAGCTACTGGCCCTGAGACTGGGTCATTAGTTGTTGTGTTGTCTTGCTTTCTGGCTATATATAGGAAAAGGATTTCAAATCATGATAGAATAAGATGCAGGCAAGCTACATGCTCTTTCTGTGGATGAAATCTTGATCTGGGTGACTAAAATGAAAACAATCAGTGAGGAATGAGAAATAGCACTGTAGATCAAGGAAAAAGGGACACCATTCTTTGATATTTGTGGAAAACATTTCCTGTAGGATACATAAATAAATTCTAGAAAACAGTTTAGCATTATTATTATTATTACTATTATTATTATTTGAGTTGGAGTCTCACTCCATCACCTAGGCTAGAGTGCAGTGGCACGCTCATGGTCACCCCAGTGTTGACCTGCTGGGCACTGGCGATCCTTCTGCTTCAGCCTTCCAAGTAGCCAGAACTACAGGCATGCACTACCATGCCTGGCTAGTTTTTGATTTATTGTAGAGATGAAGTCTCACTATGTTGCCCAGGTTGGTCTTGAATCTGTGGGCTCAGGCAGTCCTCTCGCCTTGGTCTCCCAAAGTGCTGGGATTACAGGCTTGAGCCACTGTGCCTGACCTTAGCATTCTTAAGGATAAAAATGTATGAACTCTAATGTAAAGAATACCAACTTGAGATTTTGAAAATAATATAGATGAGGTAAGGAAAGAATACGAGGTAGTTAAGAGTTCAGTAATTCAATGAAAAGCAACATTAGACAAGGACTATAATTGACACAGAAGAAATTGATTCAACAATATTGAGAATAAACCTGCAAAACATCTGAGATCGCCAAGAGAGAAAAAGCAAAGAGTTAAAACCAACGAGATAAGGTAAATACAGAGAACAGAGAGTGAGCAGTGATCCTTTTCCTAAGGAGGAAACTAGAGCCATTTAAACAAAAACATGATTGAACAGAATCATTTACCAAAAATATATCTGTCTAGAGATCTGTACAACATTGTGACTATACCTAACAATACTGTATTGTGCACTTAATTTTCTAAGAAAGTAAATCTCAAGTGTTCTTGCCACAATGAAAAAATGGTGAATGCAAATTAAAGGAGGAATAATAACCTATTTCTACCCACTAGATTAGCACAAAGTTTATTTTATTTTTATTTATTTTTATTTTTTTTTTGAGTTGCAGTCTTACCCAGTTGCCTAGACTGGAGTGCAGTGGCCGCTCCTGGCCACCACAGCCTCAACCTGCTGGGCTCCAGCGATCCTTCCACCTCAGCCTTCCAAGTAGCTGGAACTACGGGCATGCGCTACCATGCCTGGCTGATTTTTTGATTTATTGTATAGATGAGGTCTCGCCTGCCCAGGCAGGTCTCGAACCCGCGGACTCAGGCAATCCACTCACCTCAACCTCCAAAGGCGCGGGATTACAGGCTGAGCCACTGAGCCCAGCTGACAGCACAAAGTTTAATAGCCAATGACATTCTTAGCCGCCAGGTGTGGTGGCTCATGCCTGTAATCCCAGCAGTTTGGGAAGTGGGGGTGAGAAGATTGCCAAAACTCGGGGGTTCAAGACCAGCCTGAGCAACATGGCAAGACCTCGTCTCTACAATAAATAAAAAATTAGCCAGGTGTGGTGGTGCATGCCTGTGGTTCTAGCTACTCGGAAGACTGAGGCAGAAGGATTGCCTGAGCCTAGCAAGTTGAGGTTGTGGTGTCTGTGCCACTGCAGTCCAGCCTGAGTGATAGAGTGAGACTCTGACTCAAAAAAAAAAAAATCTTAGTTAATGGAGATAAGTCATTTTCACACTTTGTTCAAATGAATATGCTACAAATTGGGGAAAATAATCCAGAAAAGTGTAGTAAAATTTAAAATATGCACTCTTTTGAACTAGCGATCTTATTTTGGGGATTCTGTTCTGTTGTAATAAAAAACACACTAATCTAAGATAAATATATAAAGGTATTTGTTGAAGCATTGTTTGCTATAGTAGACAACTAGAAAAAAATATATTTGAAGAGAACTTTCCTCAGTTGGAAAAAAAATCTGATTTTGCAGTTGTTAAGTGGTAAATAGTTTCTAGATAAAATTAATAACATGACCCATAGATAGTCATCAGGGAAGTATAACTGAAAAAGATAAAATAATATTAGGAATAAAAAAAGATTCAAATCCAACAAATATATAAAGTAATTGCAAAAATTATGGGGCTACCATGTGTACCTTTCTGTTAATACGTACGAAAATTTTAATGAAAAGATCAAATTTGGGAAAGAATATGAGTTATCAAAATGGCTCCCAAATGGATCAGATATATGCATAAAATTAACACACAAATCTGTAGTTTTCCTACATTTCATCAATAACTATGTATTAAACAAATGGAAAATGATCCCACCTGCAAAAGCAACTAGAGTATAAGCTATGTAGAATAATTATTAGACATGAAGACTAAATTTTGTAGAGATTTAAAAGTCCCAAATTAAATCAAGGATTTTTTTTAAAAACTCCAATAAATATCTCAGTGGACTATTCCATATGCGTATGGAAACCTCAGCAAGACAAGGCAAGACTTTTTTTTTTAAAGGTAAAAAGAATCAGATATCAGAATTAAGAGTTGAAACGATGACATCAAATGGTTATTCAGAATGAAAGCCCTGAAACAGGCTTTATATAAAAATTAAGTGAATGAGAATGGTAATTTTTCAAATCAGTGGATAAACAGGAAGGATACCTCAGTAAGACTCATATTAAATACATATTAAATATTCAATCATAGAACATTACCTCAACTTGAATCAGAAGCCCAGGTTATGATATAATTCAACAAAACAGAGTTGCCCCACCACCCACATGGGGACATCACTGTATACCATCCTTGTGACCCCGATTACGCCATAGCTATTCTTGGTCTCCACCAAATCAGTGCATCCTGATTTGGGGTTTGGAAAATGAGACTCCAGTGATTTTAACATCATTAGTTCTGCAAGTTTATTCACTGGAGAGGAAACAAATCTCAATTATACCAAAACCTTCACAGATAAGCATGGAGAAACTGGCAGAATATAGTTGGTTTCCATTTTTGGATGCATCAGAATGGCCAGGTGGCCCTCATGCTCAGGACTCTGGGGACAGCTGGACACAAATGGTGAGGCTGGGCAGGTAGCTGAGGTGACCCCCACATCCAAAGCTGAGCGGGCCCTCCCCACAGATTTGCTGCCTCCATACCACACACCTTAGCCATCATCATCCTGTAGGCATAGAGTCGCTTGCCTTTTCCCTTCCCCAAGGCTCCTTCGTACTTCTCCACAAATGCCTGGGCTTCTCTGGTTAGAAAAAAAAAAAAAAGGAAATCAATTATTATCCAGCCAAAGGAAATCTGAACGATGAAGACTCAAACACATGGCTGAAAGTCTTAGTGTTTTTTTACCCTTGGTTAGAATATAAATTCCATGAAGGCAGGGCATTTTGCCTGTCTTGTCCACTGAAGTTTCCCAAATGCTGAGAATAATGCTTGGTATACAACAGGCCCTTGTGGTAGGCAAAACTGTGGCTCTGTAGTCTTCTCCTGCTGGTGTTACACTGTGAATATATGTTACAAGGAAAAAGAAATTTTGCAGATATAATTAAGATTACTGAGGGAGATTATTCTAGGTCATCTGGATGGTCCCAATATAATCTTAATAGCTCTTAAAAACAGAGGAGGAAAGCAAAAGAGATAGACTGATGTAAGTCACAGGGGTAAGACAGAGAAATCAGAAGCAGGAAAATGTCTGACCCCCTGTGACTGGGGCCTTGGTGGAAGCGGCCACATGGAAACATGAAAAGGAAATAAATTCTACCAAAAACCTGTGAGCTTGGAAGAGAACCTGGAGCCCCATATGAGAACTACAGCCCCACTGATACCTTGGAGTTAGCCTGGTGAGATGCTGAGCTTCATGCTGGACTTCTGACCTACAGAATTGTGTGCCAATAAATGAATGGTGTTTTTAACTTGTAGCTTTGTGGTAATTTGTTGCAACAGCAAAAGAAAATTAATATAGATGTTCCTTGAGGTACGAAGGGGTTACATCCCAATAATCCCATTGTAAGTCTAAAATACATAAGCTGAAAATGTATTTAATACTTCAATAAGTCTATTGTAATGTAAAAAAAACTTTACTTATGATGATAAACCCATATGCTCCTCAATTTATCATGGAGTACAACTGATAAGCCCATCCTAAAGTTGAAAAATTATTAGTCAAATCACGGTAAATCAGGTATCATCTGTCTAGCATGCAGTAGGTATTTGTGGAATGCATGGATATTTATTGAGTGAGTGAAATCCCAGTGAAAGTTGGATGAGAAACACATACATACATACGTGAATCAGATTGTCTAATAAATATTCTGGGGTTGTTGCTAGACCTAGTGAGGACAGGCTATGAGGACAGATTGTTAAGTCTTCAGATATTTGGCCAACCAGTTGTTAAATTGTTAGTAGCTTCGGATTGGCCATGGTGGGAGTATTTAGACCATGGAAACACTACCAAAAATACTACAAATAGGGCACCTCCTATCCTACCCCTCAGAAAGCTGGTTTATCAGCAACCACTAGATGAGCAAGCAGATGAGGAATGAAATTCATTGCAGGGTGGTTGGAAGAAAGTGCCATGGAGCTGTGTGTGTGTGGCTACTGTTGCCACAGTCACCACTGCTCTTATATAATACCCACTCCACTATTCCTGCTACCTCCAAAGTACAAATACGGGCAATTGGCATGTGTCAAAGTTGCATTCTAGGCTTTATTGGGAGTCTTGAAATGGCTATTAGTGACCTAACAAAGGTAACTCCATTTTGTAGTAGTTCTTCCATTTTGTCTTCCAGTTCCCCCTCTCACCCCTCCTTCGTATGACCACCCTAACCTTTCCAGTAGGCCAAAAATCATGTCCCACGATTTATGGCTTTTTCATTCCCTCCCCTGGAGGACTATAACATTCCTGAAACAGTTTTGTCACACTATGTAATTTACACTTCCTCCCCTATGGTTTACTTTGAAAAATCTCCTTTGTTCCCTACCCAGAACCAAAACTCTGTAACCTTATGGTTTTTTGCTCTATAAACCCCTGGCTTGCTTCATTCAGGGTTGAGAGTCTCTTTCTGGTGTGAGCCTGCTCTCTTCTGCCAGCATTAAAGGACTCAATTTTTTACTCTCAGTGTGTTGATGACTCCTTACTTGTGGTGCAACTATAACAATCTCAATGTCTTAATGCTAATAAGACTGTCCAGTTCCCCAACCCCAGGGTCATGCTGCACTGTGTGTCCCCCTCAATGGGATCTGTTCCTTGTTCCCCCTCTAGGCAGAAGATATCCTGGTAGTGAGTTATCTTTAACCATTAAGACCACTGCAACACCAGAAAATAGTTTCACTCTATTTGTACTTTTGTCTTCTTCCTGTACTTTACAAGTAGGCAGAAACTCTTAAGCACCTGGAGTTTTATGAGTTTAAATGTGCCAGGTTTTTAATATTTAGGGGTTTCAGATAACAATTCTCAAAAGTAGGGGCAACTCTTGTGCCTGAACTACTGAGCCCAGCAGCAAATACATTTCTTCTTTTTTCAGACTGTTTCCAGACCCCCAAACAGCCTTCAAGAGAGCAGGGTGTCCTGCCCAAGGCTGGGTGCAAACTATGAGGACCAGTAACTGTGAAGAGCCTACCTAGTTTAGGAGTTTCAATGGGCACAGCAAACTTTTTTTTTTTTACAACTGACATTTTTACAGCCAACTTCTTTTTGCAAGTTATCTATGATCTGAAATATCATGTTTTTCCTTGTGAAGGTTAGTATTTGGTTTATGGAAACACTGGTTCCTCCTTTGCATTTCCCTTGTTGTAAATTCTGCTTCAATAAGGTTGCCTCTTCTTGATAGCAGTGACCTTTTCCCTTTTTTTTGAATTGGAGTCTCACTCTGTCCCTCAGGCTGGAGTGCAGTGGCACATTCACAGTGTCGACCTGCTGGGCTCTGGTGATCCTTCTGCCTCAACCTTCCAAGTAGCTGGAACTACAGGTGCATGCTACCACACCCAGCTCATTTTTAAAATTTATTGTAGAAACAAGGTCTCACCAAGTTGCCTGGACTGGTCTTGAACCCACAGGCTCAGGCAATCCACTTACCTTGGCCTCCCAAAGCACTGGGATTACAGGCTGAGCCACTGAGCCTGACCAGCTTTATCTTTTTCAAATGGGAACTTTCTGCAAGCTCACCTCTTCCTTTCCTCAAACCAAATGGTGAGTAGTAAATGAAGTGAAAAGGCAAGAGTATGGATCCTTTGCTCTGGGGAAGCCTCTAGGGGCCTGGATCTCAAAGTCACTTTGCTCAGGTGATTGTTAATCACTTAGGGCCTCCAGCACTCAGCAGAGGAGAACTTTCGGCAAGTTCACCTCTTCCTTTTCTCAAACCAAATGGTGTGTAGTTGAAATGAATAAAATATAAAATATCTAATCTGAAAAACCTATAATAACCTGTAATAGCTAGCTTGACATAAGTAACTCCATTTTGTAACAGATCTTCCATGTTAACCTAGGAATAACCCCCTTATGTAACCTTCCTGTAATCATCCTGCACACCCTTTTGGTGGTTAGAAACTCCCTAGTTGCATAAATTCTGTAACCATCTGTACCCCTTACTAATCAAATGTATTGCCAAGAATTATCAATCAAACTGTACAACTTATGTAATTTATGCCTTTAAATACCCACTACTCACTCTGTTTGGGACTGAGAGTTATTTAGGACACTAGTCCACTCTCAGTTGCTGGCATCAATAAAGGACTCATAATCTGACCTTCTCTGCATGGTGACATCATTTCTTGCAATCCAGTTTTAACATAGTAAATGAAGTGAAAATGCAAAAGAGTATGAATCCTTTGCTCTGGAGAAGCCTCCAGGAGCCTGGATCTCAAAGTCACTTTGCTCAGGTGGTTGGCCCCCAGTACTCAGCAGAGGAAATTACTAAAGAGAGGAGGATTCTCAGGAGCAACCACACCCCAGAGCTCACTTCAGAATTCCCTCATGTTTGCCTCTAGGAAGATCCTTCTTGTCGACAATGTGACCCAAATCACAGTTTGGAAAACATGTTCAAAATGGCTGAAGATGACTGCTGAATGGAAAGGGTATATTGTGTGGCTTTTAGTGCAAAAGACTCAGGAAGGATATTGTACCTCTTAGTGTCCATTTTCATTGAAAAAATGGGGATAACTTAATGAGAATTAAATGTGTGTGTAAATACATGTGAAAGGAGGGACCCCAAGAAACTTAGAGTAAACTTAGTTCACAATTGCCTCAGCAAAACCATTTGTGCTTTGACTGACACGCTTTGAATCTAGCACAAGTTAGACAGATACATTTCCAACAGGCAGGTTTTAGGAAGTGTTCAGACATTCTACTGTAGGCAGTCTACCCCAGCCCCTTGACAAATCTCCATCAGATGCAAGACAAAGATAGAGCCATAAAATGATAATAAGACCACCTTTTGGTCAAGGAGTTTGTGGATTGCAAATGTCTGACCAAGTCTCTTACAGGAAAATCCTATCCCCTTGTCTCCTCCCATTTAGTCCACGACCTGAGGGCATGAAATACTAATGTCTAGCAACACTAGATCTTAGATCTCAAGATCTAAGACTCATGTGACTACAATCATCATCAAAGACCTGCAGCCCTGGACACTCCTCTGGACCCAAACCCCCCTTCCCCAAAGACTCTTAAATATACCTAACCCATAGCCACTTGATGCCACACTTGCCTCTGAGTGTTGGCCCCCTTTCCAATCTGTGAAATGTGAACAATAAACTTTACTTCTTTCTACTTTCTTACTTGGTTGCAATCTTGCATTATTCATGTGGCACCACCCTACATTGCCTCAGTTGACCCTTTCAGTATGCAATGTATACACAGCAATTCCATTGATCATGAGGCCGGGGCCCTTCTGAAAATGCAGGAATAAGAAAAGGAAAAATAAGTTATTTCCTGCTTCTTTGTACACTATTTTCGAGGGCTTTTCACTTTGGTCAGTTACATGTTCAAACTTTTGGCAAAATCCAGTCAGGATGGTGATCTTGTAAGCCAATCAGCAAATAGGACATGCAGATGAAATAATTATGTAAAACCAATCAGCGTATAACAAGTAATGCTAACTGCCGCCTCCAGCTACAAAATATCCAATCAAATGGATAATGCCAAACTGCTGCCATATAAATGGGAGACAAAGAAACTAAAATGTATATAAGGCAATGTCTTGCTGCATTTGGGACTCAGCCTTTGCATACAAATGCTCTGAGCTGGTGCTG